CCCCAAAACCCCAAAACCCCAAAACCCCATCAATCATGAACATATAAATCAATTTGAGATAATTTAATTTCTTATGATCTAAATCTAATATTTTTAGTGCTAAGCTTTTCAAATATCGACGTATGCAGTATATGAGCATCTAATGAATTTACCTGAATTCCTCAATGTTTAAGTAAATCTCTTTCTACGCTTTATTAATCTACTGACTCCTACTTAAGTTCTACCTACTTTTTCTCTACAGTTTTCTACTTCTGAAGCTTATCTAAATCGTTCCACATGTAGTTGCATGCTTTATAAGAGAACCCTCTTAGAGTTTTAGTATTTTTCCCTTCCCCATAACTCATTGCTAGCATCCCAATTGCCAAGGCAAATAAAATATGCTATAATATTGATTAGAATATAATTGGTGTACCTCTTAATATGGATTTGAGACTACTAATCCTCTTCTTTCAAGATAATTCCAAAGACTCTCTAGTGCCTTAGGGAAAACGTAATAGGAGATCTCAACTCTTTTATGAGGCTGCTCAAAAATAATCCCAAAACCAGAGATCAGAACTGATGCCCAATGAATTCCCTCTATATAATAAAAGATTCAATAAATACTTATAGGAACAGAAGGTAGTATCCTACTGCCGTAGCACTCAACCATTTTGATGGACATCACAAAACTTGTCATAAACATTACTGATCTGATTATGTTGATTACTAACTTGCTGAGGTTCCCAGCAGGACTATATATATTAACCAAATGTGGTTATTTTACTTATTAAGCATCTGCTTAAACTTGAACAAAACTATTGGTATTATATGAATTGGTAGATTTATCTTCAACAAGCTCATGAATATTTTCTGGAAATTGACTGACTGCCTATCATTGCAAGTCCCATAATGATGATAGCTCTTGCAACTGTGATTCTATCCAGTTAGCATATAATTGAGAAGATCCTTTGCTATCTCATGCTCAACTGAAATATTTTTTAAACTTGATTAATTTGACATTTTTATTCAATATTCCAAAGTATTTATTAATCTAGCTCTTTATTTAGTAAAATTCTTGCATTCAGGGGTTTTGGGGTTTTGGGGTTTTGGGGTTTTGGGG